AGCCATCCTTGGGGTCCTGGGGTGAACTTTCCAGGCAGAGAGCCTAGCAAGCACAAAGATCCTTCCAGGTATGTGTTTTAAGCAACTGAGAGACAAACAGGAGCTTTCTGTGGTGCCAACCCAAGGAGCGGGTGATCTGCCTGCTATAAGGGCCCTGGGGATCCCTCCACTGTAATTATCAGCTATAATATCCACTGATTTTTTTTTTTTTCTTTTAAAGACAAGAAGTTCATCCTGAGATCAAAGTAAAGTTCCATTAGTTGCAGCTAAAATTAAGCCTCTATTTCAGTGTGTCGTGGATCCAGAAAAGGCTGGGTTTTGTCTCCTCCTCAACAGCTCTCAGAAAGTCATTATAAAGTGAAAAGTTAATGAAATGCCAAAACGGCCTGAAAGATCTTCCGCCAAACCCAAGGCAACTGGCAGGACTGTCTTATCAGCCTGGAGATAGGGTGAAAGGGGTGCAAAGTCCTGGGAAAGACACTAGACCCAGGGCACCAAGTGAAGCCTGGGACCCAGTGGGCTTATGAGGGAGGGAGCAGGTAGGTAGTATTAAGGAGCAGTGTTCAAGTCCGTGTCCAGTATCCAAGAAGAGAAAGAAAAGAGGTTGGGGATCAAAGGAATAGCTTCAGGCACAGCTTGACCAAGGACACCAGGGTTTAGGGTATGACTGGTAGGACTCCTGCTCTTACCATATTACCCATATATCTCAATCACCTTCTCTGACTTCTTCAATAGCATCCTCATAGGTCTCCCTCCTTCTACTCTTTTTTTTTCCTTCTTTGAGATAAGGTCTGGCTTTGTAGTTCAGGCTGACCTTGAACTCACTGTGTAGTCCAGGCTGGCCTCAAACTCACAGTGATCCTTCTGCCTCAGTCTCTCAAAAGTTGGGATTATGGGTATTCACCACCATGTCTCCTTCTACTTTTGGCGCCCAGGCATCCATCCTCCATGTATTTTAAAGACCATGTTACTCCCCTGTTTAAATCCCACCCACAGGTTCTGGGTGCTCTTCAAATAAAGCAGAAACTTTTTATCAAGGCTCAGAGGCCACCACAGGCCTCTCCAACCCCACCTTCCTCTCCCATAGTAACTCTACCTTTCCATCCCTTGGACAAACAGAGCTCATCACTATCTCATGGACCCTGCATGTGAAATGCCCTCCTCCTGGCACAGCATCTTCTCAGCAGGACTGCTCTGACATCATGGTCCTCACCCATCCAACCCCAGCCCTCTCTGCTCTCTGGACAGCTCTGCCAAGCGGGGCACTCTATGGTTGATATATACTCTCTGCTTTGTCCAGCTCAATGTCCACCAGCTCCTGCAGCTGAGGAACACCAACAGTACAGTTACTACAGTGGAGGGTGTGAATGGCTAACCTCCCTCATTTAATTGATCCAACTTACTTGGCCCCATGTGGCCAGCACTGCCATATTGACAGAGACTCCGTCACCTGGAGCAATTCCATTCCCAGCCCTGAGCACAATTTGACATGATCTTGTTTCTTTCATTATTGTTTCTCTTTGACTACAGCAGAAGCTCCATGCAGTAAGAATTGTGTCTGTCTCGTACCCTGCCCTATTCCAGGGCTCAGACTGGGATCTGGCATATACTAGGAGCTCATTTATGTTGAATAAATGAATAAATTAATGACTCCCATGCACCAGGAATTCTGGAGCTCCCTACAAAGAAAATAAGTTCCATTAAGGGCTTGCTGACTTCAAGTCAGTATCTTGCCCTCTCTGGGGTCAGTGTTTCAGTGTTCTCATCTGTACAACAAGGTACTGGACCAGAGAATCTCCAAGGGCCCTTTGGCCCTAAGGCTCTGAGGCTTCTTGCTTTCTGCCTCTGCCCAAACTCCCCCTGCCTTCCCATCTCTTTGATACTCACCCTCCAGCCTCCCCAGCCACCTCATAGTAGGGGTGATCCAATGAGTTTCCTGTACCCAGAGCCTGTATTTGGGGAGTGATCAAAGCAGGCTGCTCTGTGCTCATCTCCTATAAACAAACAGCCTTCAGGAAGTATTTGTGGGAGATGATGAGGTGGTGGTGGGCTGTGCAGCATGTCCTAATCAGCAACTCTCCAGCCAGCCAAGTACAAGGGGCACAGGAGCCAGGCCTGGGCAGGCCAGGTGGCCATGTGTGTGCACCAGATGCAGGGTCCTCTGAGCTGAGACCTTCAGCTGCCACTCTCCCCTTCCCCAGGCCTGTGGTCAAGGATGGGGTTAGGGGTGCTTGGGGCCTGCATGCTTCCTGTGGAGATTTATAGGAACCAGGCACAAGGAACAGAGGAGGCAGTGAGTGACTTGAACCCTGACTGCCCCCAGCATTCTCACACACACACACACACACACACACACACACACACACTCACACTGATAACACTCACACAGAGCCATGGACATGTATATAGACACAGACACATAGACACATGAACATACAACATGCAGACAAACACAGTCCAATAGGACAGAGCAGACACATGCAGGATATACACAAACAATCACAGAAGACCAGCTGGGATAGATAGACATTGTGGTTGCCACAAACACATAAGCACATGACATCATCCCACATATCATATAGCAGATGCACACACACTCACCTAGTTGCAGAAGCAGGTCAGACTCATAAACAAGCATGTAGACATGCGTCATGGATGCCCCTACAGACACCCTCAGAGACCACCAGACCCCACCCAGGTGTGGAGACCAGATAAGGAGACGCTGTAGCATACCCTATACCCATATTTGCACATCCACACACATATATGCACATGAGGCCTCCCCAGGTTCTGCTGAAGCAGAAATGTCAGCTCCTAGGTACATGGACTTGGAGCAAACCCACACACACACACACACACACACACACACACACACACACACACCCATTCCCTGACTGGCCACATGCAGGCCTACTGGCCGGAAGCGAAGCCTGTCCTGCCCTGGCCAGCTGGCCATCCTCCAGGACCTGGTGCAGACGGTGGAGCCTAGGCAGGGACAGCTCAGCTGGGCCCCAGGGCTGCCTCTTGCCATCCTGGCCCTCTTTGCCTTGGGGATGTGACCCTAAAAACTCTCTCCCTGCAGCTGTGTGGGACCTGAAAATTTGTGCAACAACTCATATTTCTGGTTTCTTTTGGAAAATTAGAAGATCTGTCAGGACAGGGTCCCGGTCCTGCAGGACAGTCCTTAGCAGGGGCCACCAGGCTGCTGTAAGTGTGAAGAGTAAGAACACTCCATTCCTGGTGGAGGGGCCATGTGCTTACCTGCCTAGCCCCAGGGGGTTCTAAGTGGCAGTCTTGGGAGTCTTCACTCCAAGAAGTGTTTCCCTGTACACACTTGAGTACGTGCACAGATACCCACATGTGGGCATATACACTCCTTGCTCTTCATTTAAAAAATGGCATCCAGCAAAAAAACTGAGTGACACCCTACATTTAAATGTTAATAACTACATCCTGGTTGTATTTACTTACTTATTTTTTAAAATTTTGTGGTACTGGGGAATCAAACTTAGGGGTTTTGCACTGAGCTACATCCCCAGGCCTTTATTTTATTTTATTTTTTATTTTTTTGGTACTGGGGATCGAACTCAGGACCTTGTGCTTGCCAGGCAGGCGTCGGAATCACTGAGCTAAATCCCCAGCCCCCCCCAGGCCTTTATTTTTTTGAGACAAAGTTGCCCAGCCTGGGCTCAAACTTGAATTCCTCTTGCCTTAGCCTCCCAGAGTGCTCAGATTACAGGTAGTATGTCCCCTATGTCCGTCTTTTTTTTTTTTTTTTGGTACCAGGACGAACTCAGAATCTTGCACTTGCCAGGCAGGCATGGCACCACTGAGCTACATCCCCAGCATCCTAGCTTTTTAAAAATAAAGTTTGTTGTTGTTGTTGTTTTTGGTACCGGGGATCAAACTTGGGACCTTGCACCTACAAGGCAGGTGGCAGAACCACTGAGCTAAATCCCCGGCCCTAAAAGAAAGTTTTTGTTTCTTTTGCAGTGCTGGGGATAGAACCCCGTTTCTTGGCATTTACTAGGTAAGTGCTCTACTACTGATCTACATCCATAGCCCTAAATCAGTTTTTTAAAAATTTTTGAATGATTTCAGGTTTAGAACAAAGTTACAAAAAGAGCAGTGTTCCCATACCCACCTTCCTCTAATGCTAATGACTATATAGTGCATTTGTCAAGATTGAAAAGTTAGCATTAATCAAATAGTATTAAGTGACAGGTCTTATTAAGATTTCACCAGTTCATCCACTAATGCCTTTTTTTCTGCATCAGAATCCTATCAGGGATCCCACATGGCATGTAGTATAAGGGATTTCCTCAGGCTTTCTGGGCCTGGAGAGTTTTCCAAGGACTTTCCTTGCTTTGCATGGCCTTGATGGTTCCACAGTCCTCAGGTGTTTGTAGAATACCTCTTATTTGGATTTTAAGTGTTTCTTTTATGATGAGACTAGGGTTATGGCTTGGGGGAGAAGACCACAGAGATGAAGTGTCCTTCTCATTGTATCTTATCCAGGGCTCCTGATTCCTCACCTGACTTGTCACAGGGATGAGGAGGGAACATCTGCCATTACTCCACTGTAAATGGGATTTCTCCTCTTCACACTAGGTTCTTTGGATGAAAACCAAAAGATCCACCCCACAATCAAGAGGATATGGGGATTAGCAGGGTATACTAGCACATGCCTATAATCTCAGCATTCGGGAGGCTGAGGCAAGAGGATCACTTGCGGTGGAGAAGAGAGGAGATGGGAATTAAACTCCACTTCTTTTTTTTCTGTACCAGGGATCGAACTCAGGACCTTGTGCTTGTGAGTCAGGCAGTGGAATCACTGAGCTAAATCCTCGGCCCCTAAACTCCACTTCTTAGAGAGGAGAGCATCCACCTATGTTATTAGAATCTGATTTTGTCTTTTTTTTTTTTTTTGGTACCAGGGATCAAACTCGGGTCCTTGCGCTTGCACAGCAGGCGCTGAAACCACTGAGCTAAATCCCTGGCCTATTAGAATCTGATTTTAAATTAGAATCTTATTTTAAATGTCAGCACAATACTGTATGCCATTACAGGGTTCTGCTATCATTCAGTGAGCCAGTACCCTAAGGTCAGATGCTTCCATTACTTTCTGTTTTTATTTTTACAAACAAAGCTGCAAACAACAGTACTGGAACTCGATTTCAACAAATATTTTTCAAGCAACTTCTCTGTAACAAGCACTGCATACTCTGGTGAGCAATGTTTATGTTTCTCTTTAATTTTTCTTTTTTTTTTTTTCTGAGGGTAAATTCATGGATTGGAATTGCTGGGGCAAAGCAAAGCCCCAGATAGTTGTACCAATCTACCCTCTGGATCGCCATTTTTTTCTTTTTCAACTTTTGTTTTTCCTAGACAAAAATAATTTAAGTTTTTATGAGATAACTGGTAATTACTTACTGGATATTTGATGATATTAAAGAATTATTTTTTTAGGCATGATAATGGTATTGTGGCTACTTTTTGAAAAGAGTTTGATCTAATATAAACATGCACTGAAATATTTATGGATGAAGTTTTGTGACTTGAGATTGGCTTTGATGAAATACAGGAAATATGGTGGCTGGGGGTACGCCTGAGGCAAGACCTGTCATGAGCTGATGGTATTGAAGCAGGGTCCTGGAGCACCTTCATCACAGGGTTCTCTCTAGATGAGCAAAAAACAAAGACTTGTTTTAAAAAATCTAAACATGGGCTGAGGATTTAGCTCAGTGGTTCCAGCACCTGCCTTGTAAGTACAAGGTCCTGAGTTTGATCCCTGGTACCAAAAAAAATCTAAACTTGCATCCATTCTTTTTTTTTTTTTTTTTTGGTACCGGGTCTTTTTCTTTTTTTGCAGTACTTGGGATTGAGCCCAAGGCCTTTGTACTGAGCTACATCTACAGCCCTTTCTTTAATTTTAACATTTTTTTGTGACATAGTCTTATTAAGTTGCTAAGTTACCTAGATGGGGTTCACACCTGTGATCCTCCTACCTCAGGCTCCCAGAGTTCTGAAGTTATAGGTGTGTCCTTCCAAGCCCAGTGTAGCTTTTTATTTGTTTACTTGAGAGGAGTTCTCACTATGTTTCCCAGGCTGATCTTGAACTTCTAAGCTTAAGTAATCCTCCTGCCTCAGCCTCCTGAGTAGCTGGGCCTATAGATAGGAGCCACCAGACCTAGCTTCCGCTAGTTTTTTTAACTTCATAGTATTTTGTGGATCATTCCCATTTCAATACTATCTCTGTTTTTTCCCCACTATCTCTGTTTTTAACAACTTCATTTTTCTCCACTGTATCAAAGAACCATTTATTTATCTGATTCTCTAATGGTGGACAATACATAGCAGTGCTTATAAAGACCCTGTCCACTTCTGAATCTTACTATACTTGCTGTATAACCTTGAATAAAGCCCTGACTGCTCTGTCTCAGTTTCCTCACCTGTAAGCTGGAAAGAAAAGACAGCATGCAGGAAAGATGACCTAACTTGGCCTACTGCTTATTATAAATAAAGTTTTATTGGAACACAGCTGCATTCACTCATGTATTATCTATGAATGATTCCACAAAGCAACAGCAGAGTTGAGCATTGCAAGAGAAATCATGTGGCTTAAAAAATATTAACTATTTGGTCCTTTATGAAAAAATGTGCCAGATCCTAACAAAAGTCTTAGGCATAGTAATAAATGCTGATGCTGCTGAGCACTTAATGTGTTTCAGGGTCTGTTCTATACTCATCACATAGATTAATTGTTTAGATCTCACAATCTTATGAAGTGGCATCTATTTATGGCAACTAATCTTAAAGGTGGGCTCAGTGACCCACATCCCCTGAGATTCACACCCTGTGCAGCCCCTCCCCCCTGGACCCCAGGACAGCCTGTGCCTGTGCTAATAGACCTTGGGAGACTGTCAGGCCTTGTCTTTAAAAGAACTGGTAGCTTCTGCTTCCTGCCTCTTTGAATACTCTTGGAGACCTCTGAGATCTGCAGAGCAGAGCGAAGGCCACAGAGAAAGGGAGGCTCTGAGACTATGAGAAGAGGGCAGGGTCGAAGCCAGCTGGTCTCAGTCCAGACCCCAGATGACCCAGCCCCAGTCACTACCCAACTGCACTTGCCTGAGAGCAGCAGAACTGCTCTGCTGAAACAAGTCACCTCATAGAAGTGGGAGACAATACTTGGATGGCTCGGCCACTATGTTTTTCCAGCTGAGACATGGCCACTTCTAGGATGATCCCTGGTCTACCTGAATTTAAAGACTTTTCCTTTCTAGTCTCCTTTGTTCACTGATTAGGAGCCCTGTGTGACATTAGCATCTCCTGAGGAGCTTTTGCAGACACCATTTAAATCTGAATATTGGAGAATGGGAACCTAGAGATACCCCAGGATTTGAGAACCATGATTCTATCCACTGTTTCCACAATATGGCCTAAAGTTAAGAAATGTTCACTACATTCATTTAAAAAACAGATTCTTGGGGCGTGGGCTCAGTGGACCCACGCCTGCCTCACAAGTACAAAGTCCTGAGTTCCATTCCGGGTACTTCAAAAAAAAAAAGATTCTTGACTTGCATTCCAATAGCTGGAATGATCCCATTGGAAGGCCCTTGATCCTGACATACTCCTTCTGATGAATCTTATGCTCAATTACCAGCAGAGAAAAGGTCCAGCTCTCAGGTGTGGAAAACTCTACAGGAGTTTCCCACAGAGATCAACATATCCATACCAAACAACCCAGCCACCTCGCTTGGATATTCTCACTTCAAATAAGTGCTGATGCCCACCAAAAACAGGCATGAAGCTATACATAGCTTCTTTATTCAAGGCAGTCCCATACTGGAAGCATCCCCCATGGCATTCACAGGAGCATCAATAAATTATAGTGTATACACACAATGGTCTATGGGCAGAAAGAGAATGATGTGCTGGACATGTCTGGTGGCACACACCTGTAATCTCAGAACTCTGGGAGGCTGAGGCAGGAGAATCACAAGTTTGAGCTCAGCCTGGGCAACTTAGTGAGACCTTGTCTCCAAAAGGGGTGGTGTGGGCTGGAGATTTAGCTCAGTGGTTCTGCCACCTGCCCCAAAAGCACAAAGACCCGAGTTCAATCCCTGGTACAGGAGGGGTTGGTGGCTGGGGATGTAGCTAAGTGTGAAGGCCCTGGGTTCCATCCCCAGTACCAAAGGGGGGTATGAGGGGAAAGAACAGATTGATGCCCACATTATTAGTGTAGGTATATGAATTTTACAGACATGCTGTTGAAAGAAACCAGACACAGAAACTAGATTCCACTTAAATGAAGTTCAAGGTCAGACAAGACTAATCTATGGTGATGGAGATCAAAATAGCAGTTATGTCTGTGTGGATGCATGTGTGTAAATTCTGCTCACAAGATGCAAGGAAGACTTCCCAGATGACATTTAGACTCATAGAGAAATCAAGGTTTTGGTAGATATCAGCACTTATTTCAGGTGGGAATACCCAAGAGGGAGTGGCTGGGATTTTTGTAACTGTATGTTGAACTCTGTGGGAAACTGCTGTACAGTTTTCCACACCTGAGAGCTGGAGACTTCTGCACAGTTTTTCATACCTGAGAGCTGGTATGGAAATCATCATCTGCATTTAGGGCCCCCCTGAGAGGCCTTTTCTTGCTTGCTTATTTGCTTATTGGAGATATACATAATACACTGAAATACAGAGGATAGTGAGCCAATCTTGAGTGTATAGGCTAACCAAAGTAACATGTTCACATTGAGTTTTGAACCTGATACAACATACTATTCTAGGCCCCTGGGAAGGGAACCTAAGGCTATAAGACCTAGACCTTGTCTGTGAGGATTTTATAATCTATGGGGGGAGATACTTCAAAGCAAGGTTGACCTGGATGTTTTCGTCCATTTGTTTGTTTCAGGCTGTTTATTGAGCACTTACTCTGTGCCAGGAACTGAACTAGGGATGGGAAATGGAGTAGCAACCCAAACCCACCCCTATCTGGAAGGTCTATTTCTGAACAATGTACCCCTTGTTTTACCTTTTTAACACTTTCCAAATATATTCCCTATCTCCCACTGACCGTGTTCTAGTTCAGGCCCCATCTTCTCTACTCTATGGTCTGTCATGGTTTTCCTGATTGATTATGTTTTAGGTCTTCTGCTTCTGAGTCACTCTCTAGACCAAAAGCCCCTACAGTGCTTGATCAAAAAAAATGTTCAGAATTGGATTAGGGGTGTAGCTTAGTGCTAAAGTGCTTACCTAGGATATGTGAGGCCCTGCTTTAGATCCCCAGTACTGCAAAAAATCAAGACAAAATAATAAAACCCCCAATTCATAGTCCAGGCCACTTTGGTGCCACCCTATGTGGGCTTGAATCCTCATTTACAGGATCCACAATTGTGACCATAAGTAACTTCCTGATGTGTCCTGAGCCTCATTGGTGTCTTTCATCACATGAAAATAACATACCATCAACCACTACCACCACTACCACCATACCCGTTTCTTCTCATTCTTCCATGGTATGTTGCTCTATCAATCTGCACTGCTCGGTGATAGCCAGGGCTTCTGTTCATTGACACACCCTTTGGTTTCAGTGCCTTGAGCCTCTCCCCTGGTGCTCCTGTCTTATTCAGCTGCAGACTCAGTACAAGCACTACCTCCCCCGGGAGCCTCCTATAAAATGTCCAGATGGCCGGGTCCCTCCTGACCCCTAACTAGGCCTTTATGATGCTGGCATGGAACATGTCTGTCTGCCTCCTGTTTCCATGTTTCTCTATTTGCTTGAGTGTAAGCCCTTGCTAGGCAATCCACCTCTGGATTCTCGAATCACACTCTTCTTTATGTCCCCTACCAAGGCATAAAATCTGAGTCCATGGCAGGCACAGGATGTGTCTATTGACCCGAGCAGAACACGACAAGCATTTTCTTAGTGGGTGGGCTTTGTGTTGGCCATGAGGTATGGGTACCACTTTTAAAAACTTACTTTAAGGGCCGGGGATTTAGCTCAGTGGTTTCTCCGCCTGCTGCGAAAGTGCAAGGACCCGAGTTCGATCTCTGGTACCAAAAAAACAAAACAATGCCAGGGATTTAGCTCAGTGGTTCCGCTGCCTGCCTCGAAAGCACAAGGACCCAAGTTCGATCCCTGGTACCAAACAAAACAAAACAAACTTACTTTAAAACAAATTGTATATGCACATAATATCAAATCCAAAAGGAAAAAAAAAAAGGACTTAGAAGGAAAATTAAAAGTAGGTAGCCTCCCAACCACCAAGCTCCCTCCCCAGAGGCTACCGTTGGTATCACTTTCTCAGTATTCAGTGCAGGTGAGAATTGTCAATCTCTTTTACTCAACCCCAGCTCTTATTTTGCAAAAATTTAAACAAACAGAAAAGTTGTGAGACTAGTACAATATACACCCTTTGCTTAGATTTACCATTTAATGTTTCGTTACATTATGCAAAATATTTTATAAGCATTATATTTCTTAATACTACAATCATATCAATTTTGTATATGTGGTCAATGAAGCACCTGGCAGGTGCCCAACACCACACAGCTGAGGGGTGGGGCTGGAGGACTTTGATCTGCCTTCTTCCTCCTGCAGGAAAGCATTTCTTACTCAAAGTGGAAATCCACTTCCTTGAGACAGTCAACAGATGATCAGTGGAAAAGTACACAGCTCTAGAAGCATTTGCTCCTTCTCCTACATCCTTCCCATTCCTTAAGCAACAGCTGCTGTCACTGCTGCCACCACATTCTCCACAGTCACCTCCGCCCGCCCGTGAAGGCTGAGTTTGCTCACCTCATTTACAAATACACGATGACTCCCAACTGTCAGCAGGCTGACATTCACAGGTCTGCTCCTGAAACCCAAGGCTCTGGATGACCCATCCCTCATCAGGTGCCTTTACTCCCTTCCTTTTTGCCCTTTCCTGCACTACCTCCACCTCCAGCCACACTGAAATCCTCCAGATCTGCTTACGTTCATCTTTCTGCTCCTGTAAACTACTTGAATTCTCCTAAAGGGTGTGTTTCCCTGCTCTCTGGAATCCTGCACTCTTCACCCAGTGGCTCCGACATAGCCTCCGGGTTGACTTCTGGCGAGGAGACTGGACCGTGGAAACTTACAGTGACAGTCTGGCTCCTTCCTAGCAGAGGGACCCTGTATAAAGGACTCTGGGTGTCTGAGCCTTCATTTCCTCAAGCACGTAATGAAGGAAGGAATGCCTACTTGAGGACCTGGTAGAGTCAGCGTTTACTAATTTCTCATAACTAACAGCTCTTTGAGGCTGTTGACTTCTTAGTCATCCCTGGAAACACCACTTCCTATTGCTTAGTTTCTCTACGTCTGTTTCCTCATAAGTAAAATATGGATAATCATGGAGAGGTTGTAAACGTCAATGTGCTAAAGCGTTCGCAGCCCTTGGAACAGTACTCAGCCCTTATTAACAATAGTGCTATCTACAGCCATGACGACCCGGCCTGGCACATAGTAGGTTCTAAAGTTATCCGTTTTGCCACGGTGCACAGGCGGAGCGCGGGAAGAAAGGCCGCAGTGGAAGTGAGGGGCTTGCTGAGCGCCCGCCCCAGGTCGGCTCCGCCCTCCTTCCCCACCCCTGAAAGCCCTGGCTCGGCCTCAGCAGCTGTCAGGCCTGCTGGCCTCGGCGCCAGTCCACCAAACCTGAACGTCCCATCCTCGCGCCCCCACCTTCCTCGGCCTACACAAGTTACCTTGCGTTTGGCCACCCTCAGCCTCGCCCCCAGGCTGCCATTGGCTCAGGAGTTTCTTTGTTAGAGGTAGCACATGGCTACCATTGGCCGATAAAGCTGTCGATCGCGCCGGCGCGGCCCCTCCCCGCACGCCTGCCCCGCCTGCCACCCGCCGCTCCCGGCCCCGCCCGGAGTGCGCGAGCGCTCCGCTCCCAGTTGCAGCGGCCGTGGGCGCCCAGGGCAGCGGCGGCGGCGCGACGAGCGAGCTGGCGGCGACCGGTGCCTAGGAGGCGGCGGGTGCTTGGGAGGCGGCCGCGGCGGGAGGCAGCGGGCCAAGGCCGCGTCCATGGGCCCGCGGCGGTCGG